TGCACGTGTAGCTCATTTCACAATGAAAGGCCCCTTTAAATCCTGTTGGTCCACCTAAGAGCCAGATGTTTTTGTATTTATTTCCAAGACAGATGATTTTACAAACTATGATTCTGTCTTGTTAAATGTGACAATGCAGATGTCAGTGTTAGGAATCACCAGCCGGAAAAAACAGCAACATCACCGTCGCAAAGAGACGTGACAAAGAGTTTGATAATGTGATTGTCTTTTTACGCCGTGCTCTTCGAAGATGAGAAAGGAGGGAGTTGTCAGGGTCAATCAGCCTTGCAAATGGCAAAGGAAGGACACAAGGCAGTTGACTGGAGGAGCTAACCAGCTAGAAATGATTGAATGCAGGAAATTAGCTCTGCGTTGAGTCAGGGTCCCACTCAGCAAATGTAGAAAGTGTATTAAGTCGCCCAGAGTGATGGAATCTGACTACAGCGTTAAAATCCATGAATCTGTTGATTCTCTACATTGCTAGAGATTTCCATCCAATCAGCATGACAGCCTCTACCCCTGCTAACTTTTTAACCAAGTGCAGGTCTTGATTGTGCTTGTATATTAATGGAGGCAATCAGTTGTTAGAAAATTCACAACAAGCAAGATCTTGTACGGAAGTGGTTTCACAATTATTGTGTGAATGTTTATGAAGCGGTCACACTATTTTGATCCATTTACTGTACATTGTTCGGCATGTTTCTCTTTCCACAATGTTTGTGCTATTTTCAACAATAATATATCAAAAAGCATTCAGCTCTTTCAGGACAATCCTGCCATGACTTTTAGTATTTATGCAACTTTAGCTTTTTGAAATATTTAGCCTTTTCTGACGTTTTTTTTTCCTCAGAGAAAATGAATTGAGCTCATTTTACATCCTTCAGATCTTTAGATCTGTTTCCAACCTTTTACTGCTCCTTTCACATTTTGTTCTGCTTCAGCTTCTTTCAGCTTCCTTGAGCAAATTTAGGCTTTATTTCAGCTACTTCCAGTTAATTTCAGCTGTTTTTTCAGCTGTTTTGTTCTAATTTCTGCTACAATTTTGTGTTTCTTGTAACTTCTTCTAACTCAGCTAATTTCAGATAAATTCAAGTTTTCTGTGGTAATTTTTGCTCTTTAAAACCTAATTAACTTCTTTCTACTAATTTCTGCTTATGCTCCTTTTGTTTTTTTTTCCCTGCTAGTTTCAGTTATTTCAGCTACTATTTAGCTGTTTTATACTATTTTTTAGCTTTTTCAGCTAAATCCACTTTTTTTTTTTAGCTCATTTCAGCTCTTTCCATTTCCTTCTGGTAGTTAAAGCTTCTTTCTGCCTTTTCAGCTACTTTTCAGCCATTTATTTATGCTAATTTCAGCTTCATTTTTTTTAGCTAATTTTATCATTTCTGTGCTCATTTCTTCTAATTCAAATCTAATTCAGAAATATGTGTTCTTTCTGTTTTCTTCTGCTAATTTAGGCTTTTTCTTCATTTTCAGCTAAAATTCAGCATGTTATTTTTTTTAGCTAATTCAAACCGTTGTTCAGCAATTTCTTCAGCAATAAGTATTCACATTGCATTTTCGCAGGAAATGCAATTTCTCGTTTGTGATTGTGTTGCTTTGATGTATTCTAGGAATATTATAGTTTAAAACATTAATAATATATATATAAATTCTTTACCAAAATTGTATTTATATAGGAAAAAAACAGGACCTTCATTTTTTACTTACTAACACAGTAACTTATTTTGAAGTGACAAAGTATTTAGATTTGAAAATATGTTGTCGGGTGAATGTGTATAAAGTTTTTTTTTTTTTTTTTTTTTTCTGGACGTCTGGAGTTTATGTGTTCAAAAAAAAAGAGGGTCTTATTACTCCTTGCTGTCTAGCAGATGATGCTTCTGGCTTCTTTTAGCATTGTTCTAATGTTGCTTTTATCAAGTGCAGGCAGCTGTGTTCAGCCAAACATCTAGTCAAACATTCACGTTTCATCTTCAACACTTACTAGTGAAAACAGTGAAGAGCTGAGATCATAAATACTCCAAGCCGCTCCCTTTAAGCTGAAAGAATACATGCATAGAAATATAGCTTTATTGTGTATCTATAAGGGGACAAGCATTGTATCATTTGCAGCCAACTTTTCAGACCATTTTGTATGACAAAACATAAATGCTATAACCTCCAGCTACTTTTTGTAACCGTTCAGATCAAATGAGAGTCACTGGGCAGAAGACGTCCAAATGTTATCTCTTAAATCATGAACTGTCTCAGCAAAATGTGCCCAGTAAGAGACCCAGAAAATCTTTTCCCTGGCGTCACTGCCTTTCAGCTCACTTCTGTGCCACTTTCTTCATGCAGCAGATGCCAAACATTGCGTAAGCAGAGCAGCTCTATCTGCAAGACTCCTGTCATGCTTGAATGAGGCAATTAATTCACATTTGCATTATCGAGAACAAGGTTTAAAGCCCCCTAAAGCTATTATTTATTTTAGACAGATAAAACTATTGTCTTTTACTCCAGTTCTGAAATGAGTTGAGAGGAAGAGACAGTTGAAGAGAGGATAAATAGCTTTAAATTTGCAGGAGTGATTCAATTAAGGGACAAATGAGAGGAACACATGAAAACAGAGGTTTATGAAGACCTTTTGCAGCATTTAGAAGGCTGTGCTCAGCCTCAGAGAATGCAGAGGTGGAAGAAATCCTTAAGAAAAAAAAAAAGGCATGTAAGGGGATATATGGACTTTAAGCCTCTTTTTTAAAAAGCCAGCATTAAAAACTCACAGAAATGCAGTGCAGTCTGAAATGTAGAGCCACACATTCACAATCTGCTCATTTGCTCTTTGAGAAGCCTGAGCAAACAAGCTGACAGAAGCTCAGGGATATATTTTCCTGCCTCTTTGAGATCCCTACATAAAAGCATCTCGAGGTTTGTATCCTATAAGTACACACCTCTCAGATGGTTCTGAAACCCAGAGCTTTGTAACGTTGTACAGCGAAGCTGCTCGGCATGTTCGCCTCCAACAAACTGCTGTGCTTTGATGAGAGACACGAACCAGAAGCCAAAACAAATGACGAAAATTATTTTCCTGACAACAAATGTAATTATCATTTTTTATGTTGTTTTACAAAAGCTCCATTTCGTTATTCACAATAAATAATTATGCGTAACTGAATTAACTAATTATCTTTATAGGTTTCTTCACGTCAATTGTGCCAGCTCAGTAAAAAAAAAGTACATAATCTGAGTTTTTATCATCAGCGCATTGATCATTTTAAAATCCTATTCTTCACCCAACTGTCCAACGGGTACAGCTCATTATCTGAAAACAGGAATGGTGGGGGCATGAATTTTTCCTGCCATACATCAGTTCATGCCACTACTTAAACTTTGAATTCTGCAGATTAGTAGAAATGTAGAAAAAGGTCAAACTACGAGCATTGCACCAAATATTTACATCTGATTTTATGATTAAAAAAATATATATTAATAAGCACAACATGTCTAAGAAGTGCCTGCAGGAATCAATGGGATCAACAAGACCTGAAAACCTTACATAAATGCAGTTCAAATAGCAGTCTTATTTTACATGTCATCGTTTTAACAATATCCGTCTTACTTTTCTACCTTGGAAACCTTCAGTTTAAAGGTTGGATTTATATCTGCAGCTGAACGGTAAAGGTCTTCACAGATTCTGTCTGCTCCAATAAATACAGATTTTATTTATTATTATTGCTTCTTCAATCAACTGGGAATTCAAAAACCAGTGACTTAGAGGTCCCAAATGTCATGAAAGTGGATGATCTTGACTTCAGAAGATATATCGGAAGATTAACAATAATACCATACCATGCCATGCCATGCCATACCATGCCATATCATACCATTCTATGCCATGCCATGCCATGCCATACCATACCATTCCATGCCATGCCATGACATGCCATGCCATGCCATGCCATACCATGCCATACCATACCATTCCATGCCATGCCATACCATACCATACCCCTTTATTTTTTATTTATAAAGCACTTAAAAACAGCAACAAGACCAACTATTGTGCTGTACAGCAGAAACAAACAAGCAAAGCACACAGCAAAAAAATACATAGATTCAAATTGAAAAAAATAAATAAATAAATGGCTAACATTGTTGAACACAGACAGGCTAAAAACAAATCACACAGTGTCAAAAGCCAGGGAATAAAAGTGGTTTTTTTTAAGTGAGACAAAAACTGTGAGGGGGGGGTAAATCATACCACAGTCTTGGTCCTGCAATACTGTCACCTCTGAGCTTAAGATGGGTTCCTGGAACCAATACAAGCATCTGATCTGCTGACCTCAGAGAGCGCTGTGGGACATATGGCTGCAGCAGATCAGTGAGATAGGAGGGGGCAGAACTGTTCAGAGATTTAAAAGCATAAAGAAGGATATTGAACTGAATTTGATAGTGAACCAGGAGCCAGTGCAGTGAGGCTAAAACTGGTGAACTCCCTTCACTGGTGATCATAAATGGGTATCTTAGTGCTTAAGGCTGTTTGTGCAATGTTTATGCTTATATGCATAACTAGAGATAATCATGGTAAAAGTCTTTACTACCTTGTTTCTGTGATGTGGAAACTTATAACACCACATCAGTGCTGTTAATTTAATTGTTAATATGTTATAAACAAGGGTGCTGGACAAATAAAAAAAACATACAAACCAAATGATTGACATGATGCATTACCCTATAATCCTCTTCTTTTATTTTATTCATATTCACTTTCTCTGCCATTTGCAGAATGTCAACCTCTTATTTTAGGTTACAGAGGTCATCACTGAATCTGACAAACTTATGCATTCACATGGTCATGGTAAAAGGGAATGTGTTGCACCAAATTCTCATCAGTCAGTTGTTGAACAGTGAATCGTAAACCTGTGCTGCCAGTTGTGAAGGAAGCAAGCAGTGAAAATGAACCAAGTATTGATTTTATATTTCAGCCATGTATAATTACACCCGTCTCTCTTCATTTCTTTCAGGTCTACCAGTACATGCATGAAACAATTACAGTAAATGGCTGCCCAGAGTACCAGGCGAGAGCCACAGCTAAGGTAAGAACTACCTTAATTCATTTGGACGTCCAGGGTTTGGAGTCAAACATGATGCATCAAAGCTGAAAACTGCACCTAATAGTGGTGGATTGTCTATAAAACACATCACCCAGTGATATTATCTTTTATTTTCTCTCACCAAAGTGAAATTAAATTATTAAAGTAGTTTCTTTGTGAACAGCTGTCATTAAGAGCACAATTAAACAAGTGACTGTACTAAAAGTTAATTGCCTCATAATAAAACACTATCTTAACATTAGCTTTTATTTTATTGCTTCAACATGGGGCAGCACAGTGGTGCAGGAGTTAGAGCTGTGGCCTCTCACCAAGGAGGTTGCAGAATCTCCTCCCAGCCTGGGGCCTTTCTGGGTAGAGTTTACATTTTCTCCCTGTGCACACGTGGGTTTTCTCTGGGTGGTCCAGTTTCCTCCCACAGACCAAAAAACATGCACATTAGGTTCATTGGTATCTATAAATTGTCTCTAGGTGTGAGTGAGAGCATGAATGTTTGTCTCTATGTGTCCCTGTGATGGACTTGCAACCTGTCCAGGGTGTCCCCCGCCTCTTTCACTTTGCTGGACATGGACATTAGCTGCCCTGCAACCTGGAAAGGGAAAAGCAGATAAAGAAGACGGACAGACAGATGGACAGATATCAAACGGACGGTAATACAGATACCATGGACAGACATACAGATACCATATATACACCATAGGTAGATAGATACATACATACATACCATGATAGATATATACATACCGTAAATTCATAGATACATAATGTAGATAGATGCATACA